AAGTCATGAGTGAAGTTTATGATACTAAAATACTGAACCTAATATCTACTAAATTATTACTGCTTAAATTATGATACTGAATACTGAATTATATAAATTATAGAACTGTTGATGTCTTGAAATATATTACTGAAATAATAAATTTTGAATGTTTACTGAACAAACTGATTAGAAGATTTAGTGATTGAGTATGTGCATGTCTTTTTTTATGGGCACTACCCATTTTCCTTACTGAGTTCGTGAAGCTCACCGTAACTCACATCCTCCAATGCAGATTAGTCCAGATCAAGAGTAAGCTCAAGATCGAAGGAAGACTTTGAAGAATTTTTAGTAACAGTAAGGGTTCGTCTTGTAAAGTCAATTAATTATATAATAGTGATTTAATGTAAAGAATCTTGTAAGCCTCATATCTTGTAATTCCGTGTATGGATGATTGAATCTTAGGTTTTCATTTATTACTGCGTAAATTTATTAGACTATATGTGTGGAATAGCGCTCATTTCTCTACGGAGAAAGTGAGTCGTTATAGGTTTAGTAGTTCATCCTATAAAATCTTCATCGAGTGTAATATTTTGTAACCGAGAGGTTATTTTGTTTCAAACTGTATATTTCTTCTTGTAGGTCTAAAATTATTACTAACTCTTCTTGAGCAAAACGATCATGCAAATACTTCCACAGGTCTTTTGCATGATCAGTCCATATAACACTCTGCACTATAGATGGTGACATATATCTCATAAACTAAGAGAGCACAATTGCATAACATCTCTCCTAGGATTCATACATGTGATCATCCCTATCCGGCACCTTTAAAGATCCATTTATAAATTTTAATTTATTCTTTGAAATGAGTCATTTTCATTGCCCTAGACCAGGAGTAAAAATTATTATATGTGAGGACAAAGGATGTAAGCTGCAAAGACGGATTCTCACTCAGATGCAAATAGTAAGGACTTGCAAGGATTTTCTCCATAATCGACGGTTCTGATGCAGTTGTTGAAGTATTCATACCTTGACTGTGTAGAGGCTCCGAGCTATAAAATAGATTATTGTTTTACTCTTTTGAGTGATTAATCAAACAATGTTGTAAATCTTGAAGGTAGGAAGGAAATCGATGAAGAAATTTCATCTATCTGTAACTTTAGGTTTTCTCCTTCTTCATATGTTGAGAGATAAAACGACGAAGAAAGTTAAGATAGAAAAATTTGCTCTCATTCCATATTAAAATCTAGAATCAATAACAAATTTGTAAAAACTTGAAGGCGATTGTATCATATTTGAAAGCAACAGAGAGAGAGAGAGAGACGAAAAAGGAGAGTAACTACTTCGTGGATAAAAAATGAGCCGATTGTTTTCATTAATTAGACTGGGTATTTATACACAGGAATTAAGCATAATTAACGATCAATAGTTACAATTGATTAAAACAGAGCAAGCTATAAAGCAAACACCAACATTCCACTTCCACATAAATGGGTGTCTTTTATGCAAATGCCTTACAGATGGGCAAAAAGAGATAGGAACTCAAAAATTCCAAACTCATACGTAGTTTGGAATTTTTGACCAGGTACAACATAATTGAAAACAATAGTTAACAAAACAAATTAATTGCTATTAGAGACCCAAATAAGGACGTAAAATTAATCAATAAACAAACTAACAGAGAGAAATGAGTAATTCCAGATATCAATACCTTGATATCAAAATCAGCACCGCCAGTGACGAGTAGACCTAAAATAGGATGGAAGTCTAGGGTTAGAACCGTTTTGATATTGTGCCAATTTATCTGTACTGTGCCTCTCCTCATTACTTCTTTCTCCCTCTTCTAATACACTTTGTAGCTTGGATTTTTTCGAGAAAAGGACAGAAATCAGGATTTTGTTTTTGAGAAAGAGTGAGAAAAACATTTATCATTTGGCACAAACTTGTTTTGATTCGCGTACTTGAACCGTTCTTCTCCTACGCCCCATTATCCATATGAGTCCGACCTGAACCACGATGCTTTTTCTTTTATTTTTTACCCATGAATCCATATTGCCATTAAAAATATATTTTTTTAATAAAAATTATTAATTAATAATCATTATCTAGCATTTTTCATAAAAATCAATTTTTTAATATATTTTATATACTTATTGATTTAATCCAAATTATACTTAAAATTTCATCTACTAAAACTTATGTTATCCTACACAAAGAGTTTGATACAGTTTTATGAATTATTAGTTCCCATTTTTAATTCTATTTTAGTAATAAAAATTAAATAGTATAAATATTTATCTTTACAAGGTAATTAAAAACTAGCATAGAAGATATTTAACTTTTCAAAAGCATTTTTTGTTTCATGTAGAAGTAAATATTTCTTAAGATGCTAAAATCTCATAGTCTTTTTCTGTTTATATTGTTGACTTATGTTTACATCAATTAAACACATATTAGGGATGTGTTAAATTATTTTTCTATTTTATTTTAATAAATTAATATTTTAAAATTATAGATCTTACGTAGTTCTTTTCATGTACTTTAAATATTGTTGTAGATTATTGATTGTTTATCCCAACAGATTTTTTTTACTGTATATTCTTATTTTCGTTGTGAAAATTTTATGGTATATAAATTTTGATTAATCAATCTAAAAACTTTATGTTATAATTAGATCCTATGAAAGTCTTTCTTTATAATTAAAATTATAAAAACTGCTTAACTTTGCAATATTTCTAAATCAAATTGTAAACATTTTGATATAAATGAGTTAATATAAATCCAATTTTAGTTACTTTTAATCAATATGCGAATTATTTTATGCTTATATTGAGAATGATATTTCAAAGAAAAAAAAAGAATGGAGATTGAATAAGAGGATAAATATCCATCTATATAATTTATATATATATTTTTTATCCTTTACATATCATATAAAATTTTACTAAATTACAAAAACTAGTATTAAATAATCTTTTAACTTATTGCTAATATAATTTAAAAATAAATTATTTCACATTTGTTTACTATCGAGCCTCTGACCAAGTTATTGTCATCTCATTATAGGAATGAGAATTGAAAGGTTGGTGAAGACTTGTATTATCATTGCTCATCCAAAAGGCAGGTTCTTTGGGAGATGGAAGTAAGATAGTTTCGTTTCCTAACATCAAAATCACCGAAGACATAATTGGTCGATCAATTGGTGCTTCTTGAACACACAACAATCCAATATGGATACATCTTTCAGCTTGTTGAATAGAACATGTATCACGTATTGATGAATCTATTATCTCCAATGCTTTACCTTTTTTCCACTCTTTCCATGCCTAAATTGTATTTTAAATATAATTAATTTCAAGATTGAAAATTTTATTATTGTAATTATTTATCATAAATATAAACTTTTAACTAAACAACACTAGAAGAGAAAATAAGTAAGAGGATATAACTCACCCATATTTGGAGAATTTGAGAGAGATCTTCACAATGAAAATTAATATTTCTTTTTCCACTCACAATCTCTATCAACAATACTCCAAAACTAAAAACATCTGACTTCTCTGAGAATTTTCCATATAAACCGTATTCAGGCGACATATAACCACTGGATTAACAATCAAAATTTAGTCTAATTAGTATATAGTAATTTAATTAAAAGTACAAACATAAAAAAATTAATAACACCAATAATTAAAAATGTTGTCAAGTGTCTATTTTCATACTTTAAGAAAATGTTAGTATGAAATAATGTACTTTTAACATTCATAGTAATTTTTTCACAAATTTACATAATTTTTTGCTTGAGAAAATACTTTCCTTTGGTTTTTTAATTCGTTGTCACTATTCCAACTAAAGGGATATAACTACTATTGAATGTTAAGAGAAGTCTAAGTTTGTTATTGTAATCTATCCAACACACTCATAAATAAAGTTATAATTTCATTAAATTAAGAATTATGAGTTGGTCATTGTTAACTAATAATATACCTACAAAGTATCGAATTCTACATCTTAAATGATATTTGAACATGTAATTTTTACGAATATCTTAATCATTGCACCACTATATTTTTTATATATATCAATATACTTTAGATTCATATCATAGAATGTGTTAAAAATTATTTAAATGCTTACTTAAAAAAAAAAAATTTGTATTGTATTTAAATGTACTACTTTAGTAACAGAATAAATAGAATGTTTATTCATACTTAAAAATAAATTTTAAGTAAGAAAAAAAAATATACTACTTCAAACTTTTTCTTTATGAGAAAAAAAGCTAGGTTGGATTTGTGATCCATTTTTTATTGCATGATTAAAAAAGACAATAGATTTGTTGAAACTTAATCTAATTTGGTCATTGCAACCCCATAACACACTCATGAGTTAAATTTTCGAGTTAAGAAGTTCAATAAAAATGTAATCTAATGTTTTACCATACTTGTACAAATTAATAATGAGTAGAAAAAAATTTCCTACAATAATTTATATATACCTATTGAACCAAGTAACAATAGTAATTATATAATTAATTATTCAAAAAAATATTTAAAATTTAAAAGATTTTGTTTTAATAATATATCAATATATTTATTTATAATTTATAACTGTCTTTCAATGATGTACTATATAATTAGATTTTTATGTTGAACATTAAAAATAAATCCATATATAACATAAGCAAGCTAAAATGAAGAGAAAGGTAGAAAAAAGACTTACTACGTTCCTACTACTTTGTTGGTCTTTGCTTCAGTTTGATTCATGTCAAAAATTCTTGCCATTTCAAAATCAGAAATTTTGGGGTTCATTTCTCCATCCAACAAAATATTACTCGCTTTAAGGTCTCTGTGTATTACTTTTAGTCTAGAATGCTTGTGAAGATATAGAATTCCTTGAGCAATACCCTCAATAATCTGAAATCTTTTATTCCAATCTAAGATTCTTTTTTCATTTGGATCTGATACAATAACAATATATATCATCAAAAAATAAATTAAAAAAATAAAAATTAATTTAGAGACACTTACAAATAATGGAATAAAATATGACAAAAATTATGTTAAAAGTAATAAAAATATAATCTTATAGAAAATTTAATTTCAAATAGAAATAAAAAATTATGTTTCAAATTTATCATGCTAATAAAATTTTGAATCTGCTATTTCCATTTCACTTAAAATTTTTAAAGAAATTAATTTTTATCATTTTAAATAAAAAAAAAAAGAAATTGATGGTTTAGGAAGAAAAAATTACCGAATAAAAATTTGTCCAAGCTTCGATTAGGCATGTATTCATAGACCAAAAGCTTTTCACCATTCTTTACACAACAGCCTATGAGCCTCACAAGATTTTTATGTTGCAGATTGGCAATGAGTTTCAATTCATTCATGAACTCCTCAAGTCCTTGTGAAGATTTCTCCGATAACCTTTTTATTGCTACTACTCGATCTTGAGGCAAATTTCCCTACAAAAATAATTATCAAATACGTTATATAAACATATATGCATATGTTTGTATATATAGACACATATATGACTATTTGAATGGATAATATTAATTTACTAGGTATGTGTATGTATATATAAAACTTCACCTTATAAACCGCACCAAATCCACCTTCTCCTAATTTATTTGAGTCGGAAAAATTATTCGTAGCTAATAAAATGCTCTTAAAATTGAATTCCACCAGCTTTCCATCCTCCTGCCTGCCTTCACTTGTAAAGCTCCTCCCAATCACATTTCTCTCTGCTTCTGCCATAAACGAAATTATAAGTACACTAATAATCAATAAATCATGAGACCCATTAAATATAATTGTTTTATTTTTAAATATTTACGAATAATTAAGTAATATACTAAATTATATTTACACAAAAAATTATTTTCCATATTATTATTATTATTGTAAAATTAAATAAGGAGAGAAAAAGGAATACCGCGATCGCTTGAGGTATTCCGCCACCATAGACAGTATAAAGCAATTATAGCAATGAGAAGGAATGCAATTAATGCAGTGGATATGGCAACTACCACCTTCTTATTTTGAATGGGGACATGATTGTCATTCTCATGCGACCCATCTGTAACTGCATCTTTAAACAAATACATAAAATTAAATCATTAAAATAATTTCTACGTAAGAAGAAATGTGTAAGAAAAAGAAAAATTTATAGGTAAACCCTAGATAAAATCCAGCTAGAACTAAACATACCAGATTTGGAGCCTGGAATTCGAACATAGAGATCTCTACCCTTATCATCTCCAGACAACAATTCTACAAGATCTAGCAAATCTCCATGCCAATTCAAACATGTAATTATATCATTTCTTCCTTCCACATGATCATCCCTAACCTTATTATTCGGCATATCCAAGTAACCATATGCTGAGCAAGAGCAGTTCTGCAAACACCTGGACTGGCATGTACTTGCATTCATCATCCCTAACATTATTGGTAGATCGGGAAATTTCATCATCTTCACCTTCGAAAACCCATCTCTGTTGTCGCACTCTAAATCTTTTTCCACCTTGCACCCACCAGACCACTCTCCTCTATCCCATTCTTGTTCATTTCTAGGCTTATAGCCTGGCAGACACTTACAGACTCGCCATGAAGAGGATTGACTAATCAAGTCGCACACACCAGATGGTCCACAATATCCGTAGAAGTCACACATACGAGATGGTGCACTCCAAATAGATGCCCATTCATAACCAAGCCAAAAAAAAAGCGCAATTTGTCCATCTGATGTTAACAAGAATCTGGCTTTATCGACTTGTCTTGGGGAAACAAGTTCGAATGTCATATAATGTTCATCACCAATAAAGTTCAAAGTAAAGAGGAAGTTGTCCATATTCTTCCACAGATCATATGTAGATTCTGTTTGACTTAGCCCGTACACATTACTTCTCCAATATCGTTTAGATTTCTTCCAGATGAGGAACTGAGTAATCCCTTCTGGGTCGATCCCGTAAGTAAATATTCCTGGTTTTGGATCTTGCTTGTTTGACCAAGACGACAGAACAAGTTCTTTGTTGGTTTTCTTGTTAAAGCTGACTATCTTTCCTGGTAGTGTTGTATCAGAAGAAGTGTTAAAGCTTTCCCACACGGTTTTTTCGTTAAGTTGGAGAAGAAGATTTCCATCGTCTCTCAACAATCCAACTGTTGTGTTTACGGAATGTTGCGACGTAATATTAGTCGACCAGACAATCTTTCCTGTACTATCTAAAATCAATAGGTTGTCATGTCTGAGCGTGAATTTACTTGGAGAATCCAGTGGGGAGTCTCTGTTGGCAACCCAAACAACTGTTTTTTCGGGACCTAAATCATGATACCAGATACCCACGTAGCTCTTATTGGAATCTTGAGGACTGAAGAACCCTAAAGCAAATGCACCAGTTGGAGAAACCAGGGTTTTATTTCCAGTGATGTAATCTCCCGACAGCATAGTACCTTCACATCTGTAAAGCATTATGCAAAGAGAATATGTTATAAAAAATACAAAAGCAATCATGATGTTATCGCAACCCATTTGAAGAATTGAAGATTTTCTCGCACCTGCATAGATAATCATCAAATCGAAGATATTTATAATATTAATGTTCTATATTACAAAAGAAAACGACTTTTAATTCCTTTACTTTCTATAATGGGCGGGAGATATAACTTTATTTTTCAACTCTGTAATAAAAATGTACGCAAATAATTTATTATAGGATATTTGTTCTTATTTGAAATGCATTGTTCTAATAATTTACAGTCAAACTAGTATGATTAAGTCCTTCAGTTTCTCTTATAATTAAGTATAGTTCTCTTACACACATCAGAATTTACTGTAATTAAAGCACGAAGCAGAATTAATTGCTGTTTTTTTATTTTGGGTTAGAGTAAGAGATATCAATTGCCTAATTTAAAATTTCAAAGTCACATGATTTAGACTTTCTGATACGTCTATGTCCTTGAAAGAGACGAGTCCGAGTTGATTTTTAAATGACGGTCTATAACTTGTTGCAAAAATTAACAAAATTTTTATAATACTAAAATGTTTTTTTTTTTTCAATTTATATTTAAAAATCTCTTTAATGTAGTCTTTAATTTTATGTTTTAAAATGGATTAAATCTGAAAAAATTATTAATTTGTGTCCTACAATCACATACCATATAAATGTGTCCCGTAGGGGGACAGCCATACACCACGTAAAAAAAGTTTCTTTAAATATAAAAAAATAAGAATAAGTTAGATTCACATGTTTTTACTTATTATTAATTGCTTTTTTTTTTGTTAATGTTGGAGTGAATTAAATGCAATAAACTACCGGAACCACAAACATTAATGGGGCTTTAGATATTAGTCATTTTCTTCTATTTAAATGCTAATTTATTTAATAATTTTCTTTAACCTAATTTAAAATTCTTACACTATTTTTTTTTGGAAAAATTTTATACAATAAATTAATAAAATAAATTTAGGTATGATAAAAAATAATTTGTGTAATATATCCCAACTTGATGATATATGTTATCGATAAGATATGCGATTAAATTATCTAATTGAATGAGAAATTGATCTTGAAATTGTTACAGCTCGAATCTCAATATCGTTATGTACGAACATTTGCATAATATTTTCAACTAGTAAAATCGATAAATATTAAATATGCAATAGAACTATATTTTAATACACATCTCTTATGATAGAATAATTATTTATTTATAAATAATTATAACATCTAAATTGATTTGGAAATGAATATTAATAATAGATAATAATTAATTAAATGAAATTTATTCATTTTTGAAAAGTTGTGAGTTTCTCTTTAAATGACAAACATCACAATCAAAAGAGGAACAAGGATGTAACACCCAACTATTTCGGCCGCCAAACGAGGTAAAAATTCTACCATTTGCTCAGAATTTTATTCTAAACTCACCTATGCCCAAATAGGAGCGAAATCACCTGCCAATTGGCCGAAAAAAGCCGCCGCGGGGTGTTTCAGTTTTTACCTCCAATGAGGCCCTTTTTGATTCCTGTTCGATGTGATATATTCACTGTTGTGATCACCGTTTCCTCCTCTACAGGTTGACCGGAGCAAAACACCTAACCACAACGTGAGTCGGAGGAGCCGCCGTACCAGAGAGCCCCACCGCCGGTTAGTTTCTATTTTTTACGTTTTTCCGGTCCACTGAGAGCCCTAAGTGTGTTTTCTCACAGGAACCGATGCAAGTTTGGCTGAATTCAGCCAAAAACAACCAACCTGAGGCGAGTGCCGCCACTCGCGGCGGCGCCGTCGCTAGAGCACGGCAGAGCTGCCATGTCAGAATTCTGAAATTGGCCGAGTAGGCCCTGGGTCTAATTTTTGGGTTATTTGGGACATGTGTAGGTACCGTAAGCGCATTTCAGTTCCCGAGAAAAAAATTCATGGAACTCAGGAACTGCCCATATGCGTAGTAACAATCTAGTTTTCGGCATCGAATTAAGTAAGGACTCCTTACCTTATTTTCTATTATGGAATTGAAGTTTGAATAAATGATAATATTGTATTTTGTACAAATTAAATAGAGATGCATAATTAATTACGGTTACTAATGGAGCCCGAACTGGATATTATTCTCTGTCGATTTCTGTTTGATTTATTTCATAGTTTAAAAGTATTATGGTATATAGTTTATCTATTTTATGATTTAAATGCATGTATTGCTGCTTACTTCACTACTGTTTGATTTTGGGAATCTAAGATATGATTGCATTGTTGGATGCACGTTACTTATTTATGTATTTATGTTTGATTTGGTGATGGAAACTAAGGACAAATAGGAATGCGATGTGATATGATAAATGGATAAGATGACAGTCTCACTAGATATCCTAGGAGATGGTGGACGGACCGGGTTCATAGGGGACCACCCTACTATGAACATTGTCTAATACCAGACGGGGTATGGAGACTTGGTTATCTGGTGCTCATACCGGACAGTGTATGGGGATGGCCCGCTTCACCTTCATACCGGACGGGGTATTGAGGTTTAATGTCTTGGCGCTCATACCGAACGGGGTATGAGAACGACCCTGGAATTAAGACAGTTAAGGAGAATGGCTCACGTGTAGCGGAGACACCCATATGGATCCCTATGGATATTAGTAGGCTGGTGAAAATAAGAAACGTTGATAATCAGTATTGTTAATAAATACAGATTTATGATATGTTTTATGTTACTGATTATGCATGAAATTGTGATCTGTATGATGTAATTGTCTTTATAGATTGTTTTCACAGGTTCTCTAAGGGTAAGAAAAAAGATAAGTGGTTTTATTTTAAAAAAAAATATTTTGTTTTAAAATTTGTGCTCCATTAGTTGTTTTTGGTTTTTCTACCAACCTTTACTTCCGTGACGGTGATATAGTATGATGTTCTTACTGGGCTTGTGTACCTCATTCCTTATTTAACCATTTCACATCGGGAGGACCTGGTTCCCCATCCTGATCCACAAGAATACGGCGAGTAGATGCTAAATACTTTATAGTTTCTTTTATTTTTTCTCATTTTCTCGTATTTTTTTTAGAGAACTTATTTCGTGATATTATTCAGTACTTTTAAATTATTGTGTAAGGGATGTTAACTTTAATTTTTTATTTCGCTTCCGCACTCAGATTATTATATGTATTTTCTTTTGAATTTCTGGGGTCATTACAATTGGTATCAGAGCCACGTTCCTCGGACCCGTCCCTTACATAATAATACTTAGAGAAACACCAAACAATGGATTATCACTCAACTATTCCTTGTAAAATACAGGTATAAGGAGATGAGAAAGAGGAAGACCCCCACTAAACCGGGC